AAAGGTATGATTTAGATCTTTAGTATTTATGTTATATAGCATCATGAATATGTTCTTGATTGGCTTTGGCATTGATTTAAATTTTTTAAAATTCCGCTGCGCACTCGATGCCATTATTTTCTAACTATTGGTATCAGAGTCATGGTTATTTGTTCATGATTATGCTATGTACATAGATTTGTGATCTAAAAAATATCTCCTTTATGCTTGAATTGGTATTTTAGAGAAGTTAGCATGGTTTCTATTTTTTTATCATGAATATATAGTGAACCGATGATTAAATAATTATTATTGATTATTATTTATAAATTATTAATGATTTTTGATTATTTAATTTTTTACTAGTTATGGTTCCTTAGAGTTTAGAATAATTATATAAAAATTTGTTCTTGACAATGTAATTAGATATACAGTCTATGATCACTGTTAAGGTTTATTTTAATTTTTTTCGTAAAATTTTATAAACCGAAAACAGTATAGAAATTTTCATCTAAACAAAGCTGTTAAATTAAGCCCTTAAAAAAAGAAAAAGAAAAAAAGCTAACGTTTAATTCAAGTTTTGCGAAAAACAATAATAATCCAAGGGACACAGGCGTGGCGGTCAAAACTAGAGTGGATTGCAAAGCAAAGCCCATATTTTTCGCAAAGTTAGAAAGTTCGTCTTCTCCAATTCTCCGAAACTTCAACAATTTCATTCATGGAAGCAATCAGAAAGCAGGCCACGAAGCTCAGAGATCAGGTCGCTAAGCAACAGCAGGTTCTAGTCTTCCTCTTCCTAACCCTAATTCCCTCTTTTCGTTTCTTCTTTAGTCCCAAAACGACAATGAAAATGCCTTTTAGATCGAACGCAATTTCTGTTTCTTTTTTTTCTTTTTTTTATTTATCTCGTACACCGAAGCTATTGGTCAAACGACTGACTGCCTGGATATCAAGTATGGTTGCGATCGGTGATCTCACCCGGACCATGGAAAAGAAATCAATTAATTGAAAAAGTTATATAAATCGATTCGATTTATTGCTATATATGGTTTTTTATTCTTTTTTCATTGTATATTATTGGGTTAGTGGTTCTGGTTCGTTTGTTCATGAATTTTTAATTTCTTGGTTTTTCGTTTTTCTAATTTTTAAGAAGGAAAGTGCTTATTGGGTTTTGCTTTTCTGAAAAGATGATGAATGTGAAGTGAGAAAGAAAGATTAGCCCGAGTATATTGAGGTGACGTACATTGTCAGCTTTGGATCTGTGTAATTTACGCACCAAGTTTGTGTTTTTTTTTTTTTTGGGGGGGGATGAAAATGTTAGGCTGTCTTCAAACAATTTGCTGGTGGTATATATGGAGGTTCAGATAATATCCTTGCTGATGAGTCAGAACTCCAACAGCATCAGAAACTGGAGAAGCTTTACATTTCAACTCGTGCTGGCAAGGTTGGGAATTGTTCTTAAAAGTTTGAATGTGATTCTACTAATAGCTTCGCTTTCTAAATTTGTCTTCTCTTGGTTCAAGCATTATCAAAGAGATATCGTTCGTGGGGTGGAGGGTTATATAGTTACTGGATCGAAGCAAGTTGAGATAGGCGAGTTGCTAAAGATTTTCTTTCGTTTTCTAGTTATGGTTTCCTTTCTTTTTTTTTTTTATCATTTTTACAAATGACCTCATTCTTTTTTTTTTTTTTTTTTGTACAACAGGTACCAAGTTGTCAGAAGACAGCAGGAAATATGGCACTGAAAATACTTGCACAAGTGGTAGCACTTTATCCAAAGCAGCCCTGAGTTTTGGAAGAGCTCGCGCTCAAATTGAAAAAGAGCGCGGAATTCTTCTGAAAGCCCTTGGCACACAGGTTTGACTAACTTTTTATTATGAACACTAGCTAAACTCTTGCACGCAAGCAAGATCTATAGAGATAAAATTTGTTGTAGTAAATGATATTTTTGAATAATAAACAATCCAGGTTGCCGAGCCTCTGAGAGCAATGGTTGTGGGAGCTCCCTTGGAAGATGCTCGACATCTTGCTCAACGATATGATAGAATGCGACAGGAAGTTGAAGCTCAGGTAATAATAGACTTTACGATGCTACTCTGTCCTATCAAAGATTTAGGGGTAAGACATATATTCTACTCTGCCATGAGTTTTGAACACCAAAAAAGGGGAGGAGAGTTATGGATGTTTAACAAAGCCTGTTACACAAACTTTAACATAATTTACAGCTTTCTTGATATCCGAAGCTTGATTGATGATTCATTCAAGTTGTTCGTTACATTATGATTTGCTCCCAGACATGCTATTGATGTATCTAGACGGCAAGCGAAGTTACGGGAATCCACAGGCAGTGCTGAATTTATCATAAAGCTAGAAGCTGCTGAAGGCAAACTTCTGGAGCTAAAGTCAAATGTGGCAACATTGGGGAAAGAAGCCGCTGCAGCTATGGCTGCTGTGGAAGGTCAACAGCAGAGGTTGACTCTTCAGCGTCTACTTGCCATGGTAATTCAATCATCCTTCTCCCCGTTTTTTTTTTTTTTTGGACACATAGACTACTACTGTTTTACTTCCTGTAAAAACGTGTTTTAAAGTGAGTTTTCATTTTGTTTTGCATTTCAGGTTGAAGCTGAACGCAACTATCACCAGAGAGTCCTCCAGATACTTGATCAGCTTGAGAGCGAGGTATAAAAGTTTTTAGGAAGTCATTAAGGTGTTCACAGGCAATGTCCTGGAGTCTTCTAGGCATTCAGTTGGTTGTATATACTTTGTCCTTGGCGTGATTATGATTGAAATTTCTTGTGAATAGATGTTATCTGAGCGCCGGCGAATTGAAGCACCATCTACTCCAGCAACAGAGAACAACATTCCTCCACCACCATCATATGAAGAGGTCAGCGGTGTCTTTGCTTCCGAAATCTATGATGGATCAACAGACAATGTGGATTATTTCTTGGGAGAGGTAACTTATTTACTTATATTTTCCATTTGCCATCCACATATCTCTTCCAGTTTTGGAACTATTGAGTTGCTAACTATTTGTTTCATGTCTGAAGGTTGTGAATTCATTCAAAGCTGTAACTGATGTGGAGTTAAGTTTGTCTATTGGTGATTATGTCGTTGTCCGGAAGGTTCTGCCACCTATCTTTTTCTATGTTTGCATATTTCATTTTAGTGAAAATCTTAGGACTTTTAAATGTGTTCCCGTTGCTAAATTTCCAATATTTTCCCCATTACATTTGTACAAGCTATTTTCTTTCTATTTTATCGCCTTTGATTATACATTTTAATACTAAAATCCAAATCCATTTATTGTTTTATCATCTCTAATGGCAAAGATATTTCTGTGCTTGTTCAGGTCTCAAGCAGTGGTTGGGCTGAAGGTGAATGTAAAGGAAAAGCCGGTTGGTTCCCATTTAACTATGTGGAAAGGCGAGAACGTGTGCTTGCGACCAAGGTGGCTGAAGTCTTCTGAGGTTACCCAGTAGTGGAGCTTTTCTTACCTTTGTTTTCATCGGAAATTTTTGTCTCTTCTGCATTGTAAATGAGCTACAGATTGTTTATACCGTCTTTATACAACACACTTGCAGCAAATGGAATATGCGTAGATGTCAATCATTGCATTTTGTGTTTGTGCTTCTTTCTTTTTATATAATTATTTTTGTAGATTTAATCCCTATGTTTGTGTCAATATGAGAACTACGTGTGTTTATTTTTACTTATTTGTTTATTTATTTATTATTTTTGGTTCATTGGTACACATTGATCGTTAGAAGTAAAGATGCAATAATGGGCCGGGGTCTGTGGGCCAGCCCATGTCCATCCTGACACAGTGACGGACCGGGCTGGCTCGGCCCGTCACTGTTCAAGGCACAACCCCTCATTGTTCAAGGCACGGCCCGTCACTGTTCAAGGCACGGCCCGTCACTGTTCAAGGCACGGTTCAGTCCATAAATATTGGTGGGTTGAGCTGGGCTAACATATACCGGCCTATGGGCCGGTCCGGCACAGCCCATGAAAAATCATGGGTCATGCCGGGTTGGGCCAGCCCGTCTAGGCCCATGATGGCCCGGCCCGTCTAGGCTCATAATGGGCCGATTTAGCCCAGCCTATTTAGGCCCATAATATTTTCTTTTTTTAGTAATTTTGTCAAAATATTACATTTTATGTATAATTATCTTGATTGTATTCTTTTTTTCTTACCAATGCTTTGTCTTACTGGGTTTTTCTTAGAAAGATTTTTATTTAATGAGGTAATCGTAAGTAAAATATCTTTTTTCATATTTCCATTGACTATTTAAACTTATATATTGTTAACTTATTAAAAAAATTAAAAATTAAAAATAAAAATAATTAAAAATTACATGCTTAGATGAGTTAGCCCATCTAAACTCATGATGGGCCAAGATGGGTTTTGAGTGGGCCAGCCCATGGCACGGCCTATCCTGGCCCACGGCACGGCCGTGTTTAGCCCACATAAAATTGACATGTGGTGTGGACTGGGTCGAGATCATTCTTATACGCGGCCCACGAAATTCATGGGCTGGGCCGGTCAAGCCCACGGCCCCGCGTGGGCCTAAGGAGAACGGGCAGGGCCGGCCCGCTCTTGCATCTCTAGTTAGAAGTCCTCCATGGACGTTCCAGCAGAAAATTAGCTGGCTTTGTCTGTAGCAGAATTGTGCTTGGATTAATCATTGTAGTTTGTGTTATGTATGGTCCATTTCACAGATGATTCGAGCATTTCTAACAATAATTTAGTTGCTAAATATTCATAAGACAATGATCCTTTTACTCCGCCAACATAGTCCAGAAATATCAATGTTACAAAGCAATAATTTTTTTCTTTTTTTTTTAATAGCACTAACAACCTCATGTGTTTCATGAATAGTTGTGGTTTGAATTTTTCTCTTTTTTCATTGACTCATTATTATGTTACATTATTGAATTATAATAATTTTTTTATGAAAGTATAATAATTATTAAAATCTTCTATAATTATCCCAAGTAATTATGACATAACAGTGATAAAAAAATAATTAAAATCAATGTTATTCCTAGATATTTTTACCTGATGATGCTATAAAAAAATAACCCTATTACTATCACTGTTCCTCAAAAATCCAGCATTGCTACAATATCATTTCCACAATGTAAGTGCAATTTCAACGATCTGTAAAACTGTTAGCAACTTGGAAATTATGAGAGACTGAAAGAGCATGAGCCTGAAAAAGTCTGCCGGTGTCTCAAACTGTGCGCAAATTAGTTGCAAGTTTATTTTTATTTTTATTTATTTTTCGCTTGATAAAATGATGTCTTATATGCATAATTATCGTAACATTTTTACACGAAAAGTCCTTAGGATGTCATTGATCTTCATCCTAGTACCACAAACGCCCAAACACGTTAACATTGCAGAGTTCTACTGGCACTAATATTGAAGTGAAAGCGATACAGACAAAACGGCATATTGTAGCAATTCATTTATCACTAATAACTAGTAGTTGATAAACGAGAGGCTTGAACCAATTATCTGTCCCTTATTCAGTCATTGGCCTTGGTGAGATTCCAAAAGCCATAAATATAAAAGAAAACTTTACAACGTTTGCAAAGTGCAATATTGAACAACAACATCAATCATATCGTTACTAGTTGTGGGCATCATACACACATTCTGGAACAAGAATGAGGTCGGGTCAGCAAACATTAAAGTGACTAAAATGACAAACGAAAGGACCATACCGTTCTTGTATAGAAACATGCACGTCGATCTGGCTGGAATGTTAACCATCATCGGATCTTAAAAAAGGTCACCGATCTTGAAATGAATAGGGCCTACGAGAGTATTAGTAGATAAGGAAATGACAACATGTGGTGCTTAGCTGTCTAGTTTTTGATTGGTTACGTTGACGTTTGGTTCACGAATTCATAATTATAATTTAAAATTATTTTTAATTTACGTGTATTTTTTGTAAGAGAAAACACTATAGTGAGTCACGAACCATGATCCGAATTATGACAATCTTTGCTCCAAACGCATTCTAAAAACCACGAGCTTGGGTTTCGGTTCAAGACTCCAAGCCAGTATTTTGATTTGTCCTCACACCTGACCTGACCCTACAAAGTAACAATCACCTCCCACCATGATTTCCATATGAGCATTCCTCTCCCAGCCCACTATTGTTATTTGTTAGTCAAACCAATCCACATTATTCTAGGTTAAACCAAAAAAAAAAAAAAAACACTTTGTTCTTATTTGGGTGTCCTACTCCTCTCTTGGTTTGATTAAATCTTCAGCCTAATAGAAAGGATAGATAGTAATATGTTGTATTGTGATAAAAATGTGTTTTTTTCTTCTTCTTTTTCGGCAAAATAGTTTATAAAGATATGTTGACCTTTGGTTCATACGTGTAACAGAAATTTAAATTTTTATATAAAAAAAAGTTCGTATCAAAAAGAGTTGAATTATAATTCATAAAACAAACAAACGGAATTCATATTATTTTTCTCTTTCTGTTTTGGGCATTTAATATGTGACCAAATAGTTGTTTGGAAGTAAATGCATCATTGGGACATGGTGACACAGACAGAAGCTGACTTCTCAGCTCGCCAAAAGTGCTCTCGGAGCTCGCCAGGTAACCAGAGAACAACCAAACTTTCTAGTTTCGTATTGAAAATGATTGTACATTTGCGCCATACACCAAAGTAAGAAACTCTCAATTCCGACAAAACCAGACCACCCCTTTTCGTTGCCCTTTGGCCCTTTCACTTTGCCCCCTTCTCTCTCTCTCTCTCTCTCTCTCTCATCTGATTAACCCAACACCACCATCATTTTCGCCTTCTACTGTTTCTGTCCCTTTGAGTACACCCTTTTCTAGATTCGAGGTGACAAACAAACTGCCCTTCCACATCCTGAAATTCTTTCAAGTACTATCTATACCATTACCAAGATTCGTTCCCCATAACAATAATAATTCAACATGAAAATTATGTAAAGAAAAAAAAAAGATCATGAAAGCAGTTCAAGCTTCAGCTTCTTTGAAAATTGAAAGTGAAAAGCAAAACAGTACCGAAGGAAATTTTGCATATTCACAGTGATCTTTACGTTTCGGAAATACATAGAACAAAGAAAGAACAAACGATTAAAACCTAAAACCCACGAACTGTGTTGCAGCCACATCACATACCAAAAAACACAAAAGTCAAACTAGAACCAAATTAATAGAACAAACCAAGCTTTATCCCCAAAAAGGAAAAAGTAGGGGGAAAAAAAGAAAATGATCGGCCAATTGATAGCAGTAATCTACCAAAAGGGTCTTGATCTTTTGGAGCCTGAAGATGGAAGGTTGATCTGTGGCACTGTAAATCCATCATCGCTCCACCTTCTTGCAGCACTGTTGGCTTTGAAATTTGTGCCCTCCTTTGTCCCAACCAGCACTTTACCCATTTCTGTAGGATACGCAGGAGGAGCAACAGCCGGTGCTTGTGGGACCCAAATCCCCATATTTTCTGCCGAGAAAGAACCTAAGTTGGTCTCCAGATCACAATCCAGAAACGGCGATATCCCATCATCACCCTGCAAATCAATATCCACAGCATAATACATTAACACAACCCCAATTTGGAATTATTGTTTATTTAACAACGAAAAAGATAAAAGAGGATAAGCTGATTTCGAACCTTACAGAAACCAAAGGCGACAGAGGAAGAGTCAAGAAAGTCCTCGACGTGCCAACCGGGAAGCGTCTCTATCAAGTACTCCGATATGCTGCTCGTCAAACCAACCTCGTCGTTTGTCAACGGATCATAATTCGTCATCGTCGTTGTCGCTGTGGATGTGGACGAAGCTGAATTCTTGGTCAGCACAGAATTAGGCGGCTTCGAAATCGCAGGGGAAACAGAAACGGACTTCTTGAGGGAAGAAGACTGATCAGTCATTTTCGGATTGGGAACGGAAATATCAGAGGAAGAAGATCCATAAATAGCAGAAGTAGCAGAAAGCTTAACGCCAGTGAGGAGAAATCGGTTGTGTTTCTGGGTGTGTTCGTTTGCCGAGTGAATCGGGTGATCACACTCTCTGCAGAGAATCGCCCTGTCCTGCTGACAGAACAAGAACGCTCTTTTCTCCTATATATATCATATAAACACAAAAAAGAAAAAAAGTAAAACAATAATTTTAAGAAAAAAAAAACAAGTCGGAGAAGAGTAGAGGTCACAGGAGGTAATATACGTGGCAGATATCGCAGACGGGGAATTGTTTAGAGGAAGGATGAAGAAGAGAGAAGCGTTGGTGTTTGGAGGCGAGCTTGTTGGCGTGGTGGACGCGGTGGTCGCAGGCGGAGCAGAGGGCGGCCTCGTCGGCGGTGCAGAACACCGACACCTCGTTCTTGTTGCAGACGTCGCACTGGATCTTCATCTTTTCTCAGAGCTCGCCGGTGGATTCTGCAGAAGAGTCTGTTTTATGACAGGGTTTGGGTTGGGGACTGGGGTTGAAGTAAAACTTCTCTTTTGGCGAGGAAGAGAAAAAAGAAGAAACAAGATTAGTAAAGAGAATAAATACATCACGGATATGGAGATTTAACTGTTATTCTACTTGAAATTTTCACTGCTCTCAAACGAGATGGTGATTATTACTACTTTTTACTATAGAAAAATTTGTTGTGTGTTGATCGGATATGTTTCCGTAAAGATGGGATGGGGCCTATGTTAACTGTACGAGTGAGTTCTAATTTTGTATCTATATAGATAGATCGGCATCAACATACATAAAAATGCACCAAAGTATCTAAAACAAATAACAGTAAATTAAATTTACGTGATAAAAAATCTTTTATTGTTTATAAATAACAAATTTATATGGTAAATTTTTTTTATTTTTTTTATTTTTTTTTTTTTGCAAATTGAGAATAAAAAATTTACGTAGAAAAATATTTTTACTATTATTTATTTTAAATATTTTAAAATTTACTATTTACTTTATTTAATTTTGTAAGAATAGTATTTACTACTATTTCTGCTTTTATTAATATTATTTGCTTAGTTATCAAATTTAGAGCAGTACTTTTTTACTTTCTTCGCCATCAGGTGATAATATTGGTGTTATTATGACCCCATGACAAATTCATAAGGTTACCAATAGGATAGAATCATAGAAGGAATAAGAATTGACTCAATTTTATTCAAGGATTTCTAAATTTTTATGTTGCATTTTTATTCTTTTTTTTTAGTAGTTTAACATTCTCATTTTATATTATTTTTTATATCTCTGAATTTTCAAAAGAGTAAGTGAGTGTTTGTTTTTTTTTTTTTTTTTTTTTTTTTTTTTTTGGACGAAAGGTGGGTTAAATTTAGGAAGTTATGTGGCTACTAAATTATCGAAATGTAATTTATGACTTAAGTGCCAAACTAGGAGTCAAGGACAAGTGCTGGAAAATATTATTGAAAATTGCAATTTGTAATTCTATGTAAATTCTAATATCGGTTAACAATTGGAGTTAATTGTTATTATTTTATAATTCTGAAAACTAATTGGCAACAAAAAAAGTGGAGGCACAAAATTACCAAAGCATAAGACTTCTAAAATGTTACCCAGAAATAATCTTAAAGAACATAATTATGTTCTTTCTTTTCATTTGTTGAAAAGTATTTGATATGATTTGAAAACTAATGAAAAATTCTAATTGCAAGATCTTTATTAGATTCCGTTAAATTATGATACTTTATTTAAGTTATATGTCTTTATTAGATTCCGTCAAATTGTCATACTTTATTTAAGTTATATGTTTATGATTTCACATGATAATTAAAACTAATTAATTGACAGTAAAAATTAATTTTGAACTTGCGGTTAAAAGAGATGTCTTACTTACCAGCAGCGTATGGATTCCATACTCTACTAATCTCAATCAGATCTTTCAATTATTATATTTGTCGAATATATGATTTTGGGTTTCGCTTTCCTTCAAGGGGAATATTAAATCTTATTATATTCACTTTTTATACATCATCCTCAGAAATGGTTAGATTCAGAACTTGTAGTTGGCGGCCGTAGTATTAATAGTAAAAATCTTATATGTTATTACTAACTCATTTGTCTGTAGGTTGCTTTCAGGCCATCTGTTGTGGGACCCCTTCACCACGCTGGATTGTGCACGTTGCAATGCATATTCCTGCAATCTCGAACTTGTCCACAAGGTTTTAAAAAAATTACAGTTAAGGAGAAAACTTTGCGCTATCGTATCTCAAGATCCAACGGCTTAACCTTCTTAGATTGACAGTAGACCTCATCGTTTTTGAGCAAATTGAAGAAGATTGCCGCACTGAAATTTTACCAATCTCCTTAATATTAGACCATATTTGAAGCTTTAAAGTAAATAAAAAGAAAAAAAAAGAAAAAAAAAAAAAAAACTCAAATTTTCTTCTAATTGCCATAGTACTGGAGACAGTTTTTCTTCATCCTCTACAATTCTTCTCGCTCTTTTTTCAACTCACCCTCGATCCAAACCAAAACACAAAAACTAGAATCAAGAGCTCTAGTAATTTGCATATCTTTTTATTTTCTTATAGAAATAAAAAAAAAAGAAAAAAACAGAGAAACAAAAACGAATTTGAAAAAAAAAAAAAAACAATCAGCCAGAGGTCGGTATCTCGCAAGAACGACCCACCGCGTGGATCACTGAGTCAGTGAGACCCACGGTGGATCTCGCCATTGCGATGGTGGTCGCCACCACCACCTTCTCCGATCGTCTGAATCTGGGTTTTCTCTTCCGTCGCTGGTCACGCCACTCCACTCGCGAAGAAAGCCTCACCCCCGCACTGCTCACTCCCGCTGCGTAGACCAAGTCTTAAACCGTATCCGCCTCGCCGCCGGCACCTAGCCCTCATCGCGCCAACTGTCGATCTCCGTCGGGCCGAGACTCCTTACACCAATGCTCAGCTCCCAATCCCACAACGAGGAAAAAGACAGTTTTCTTTGTTTTACTTTGTTCTCTTATTGTTTAGAAGCTAATGCTCAGATCTGGGTTTGGAATTGCTGTAATGTACTCTTTTTTAGTTTTATTTAAGTTGGTTAAATTGATTCTCTGCAATGAAGAATTTTTGTTTAGTTGATATTGTTGCATTTATTGATTGTCATCTTTTTTTTCAAGGATTTGTACTTTAGGATAGTCAAATAGATCTGGTTAGGGATTTGTCCATTCCGGCTGAGCTTCATTTTTGAACAGTGGTCTTCTTTTTTCGATCCCTAATGATCTTAAGCACTTGATCTCATTTTATTGTGATATGAAATCAATTTTTCTTTCCCCTTGGATTAAATTGAACAGTCCATAAAGTGTTCCTTATGGATAATGAAGACTGAATCTAATCAATATGTTAATTTATTTTTATAGAGAGTAATTGGAAGCAAATTTGAGATGAAAACAGGAAGAATTATATAGTTCTATTCTAACATTTTTTTTTTTTTTGTTTCTTCTTCACCGTAGCACAATATTTTCTCTTACAATATTATGTGTCTGGGTGTCTAGAGAAAGGGTTTATGTATGTATGTACATGTACAAGACAAGGGTGCAGCGGCTTAGGTATTTTCTTAAAAACACAATTAATTATTGTTCGCATTAAAAGGAAAAATCGTTAAAACAATTTCTGTTTGACCAGTTCTATATATGGCCGTATTATATATTCCGGTTTCTTTGAGTGGGAACAAAATCATTAATTTCTGCCTAACCTGATCAAAGTAATTCTTCCATAGTGGCAATAATTATAGATGATTATATTAATTAAAATTAGTTAAAAGATAATAGCTAACCGCTACAACGACACACACATGTTTACAAGCTAAAAAACGTAAGAAATATTGTTAGGGTCAAAATCAACCCACAATCATGGACAACATTCGGAGAAGAAGATCAACTCGAAGAGGCTACGAAGATAACTGAAGAAGACTGACGACAGGAAGAGTGTAGGGACCACTGTCGATATTTAAGGAAGGCGATTCCTTAGAGGCCACGAAGACTATCTCAGCCAAATCCTATATTAAAAGGTCAAATCGGATCAATGATATACATTAAAATATCTCAAGAAGCCAATATGGAAACAAGGAAACGGAAAGTCAATCGAAAGAAAAGGAAAACTATCCAATCTGAGAGAAAATGAAACTAGATGACCATCTCCTATAAAAAGAAGATAATCACGACCAAAAGAGGCCAGATTCTTCATATTATGCTCAGACTCTGTCTGTCTCTCTAGATTCTCTCTCCTCATTCTTCACCAATTCTCATAAAAAGCATTGTAATTGTACTATTTTCATTACATAGTTAAATCTTTGAGACCCTACAGTAGACGTACTCTAAGATTATCAGGGGAACCACTATACATCCATGTGTTAATTTATTTTTCAGCACTTTGCATTCTCGTTCTAGCGATATATCGACTCAAATCGACCTAAATCGACTCACCAACGCGATCGACTCTCGGGAGAGGCCATTAGCCTTCTAAATAAATTTAAATGCAAAATCCGACCTCTACAAATACTTAACGGCCAATATTACAACAAATTCCATGCAAGAATATTATACTTTCGGATTATTCTTACTGTTGTCTCTGAACTTTAGAGGATTACTTTCAAAACTTTAGAAACTTTCATTTTGTCCTCCAAAATTTGAATGAATTCTACTTAATGTTAGATTTTTTTTTTTTTTGGTTAAAAATTATACGGAAGAAAGAAATAATGCGATCACATAGAATTTTTAAAATTTTTATTAAAAATAAATGAAAGAAGACAATAAGATCACCACATTTAATCATTTTTTTCGTCTAATTTTAATAAAATTCTAACACAGTTACGTGAGATTAATTTAAAATTTAAGAGAAAAAATGAGAACTTTTAATGTCTAATAAAATGACCATAATAATTCAGATTCATCAATGAGATTAACTCTATACTTTTCGTCCTATATCTATTGCAGGTGATGATAACAACATTAATTATAAAATGATAACAACATTAATTATAAAATAATAACAACAAGAAAGATATATATATATATATAATATATATATTCTCCATTTCTAAATTCTAAAAGCGTGATTAGTGGGTAATGAAGATTATAGAAGTTTAGAGCATCGATGTTAAGGCCTCAATAATGTTAGCTTAACATTAAATTAAGCAATTTTCTTTCTCGCAAGCTATTAATTTATTGACTATGGGACCTTTCTTTGAATGTGCAATTGGAGAGCATGGCACGCTTTTAAAGGTGTCGACATTAATATTTTATGAACTCGAGCAATTCTTTATTGGTCTCCATAATATAATATTTAATTTTTGAGAGGAAATAATATAATATAATATACGATAAAGAGAAAGTGGAAAAAAAAAAAAACACAATCCCCTAGAGTTCCAGCTGTCCCGAAGGTTAAGGTGTGTTTCATAATTTAGAGGTACGTGTCAACTAATGGCAGATGGGTAATCCCAAGTAACCCCCCCCCTTTTTTTTTTTTTTTTTTTTTTTTTTTTTTTTTTTTGAGCAATCCACTGATAGAACCTTTTGTTTTCCACTATCTACTATGCGTTTAATTTTTT